AACAAATATAAGGGATCGAATACAGGCACTTTTGGAGAAGGACCCGACAACATAATATTTTGTCGACGTCATTAAGTAGGGCAAGACTCAACAGTTCTAGCTTGATGGGGATCTAGTGATGGCAAAAGGAAACTGCCTGTATGTTTCGAAATATGGGGATTTGAAGAAATCCTTAATCATGGAATGCGACGACAAGTTGTGGGCTGGACATCCTGGAAAGGAACGTACTTGTGCACTATTACAACGCGCATAATATTGGCTTCAAATGTGGGATGATATTGAAACTTATGTAAAAATGTCTTGTAAGTTAGCAAGATAAGGCAGACCATAAAAAAAGACAGGCTTGCTAGAGCCTCTTTCCATCCTAACCAGGCCATTTGAGAGTGCATTGATGGACTACATTATTGGATTGCCAAAAGTTGAGGATTTTGACACTATTATTGTCGCGGTAGATCTTCTATCAAAGTATGCAACATTCATCGGAGCGCCTAACTATGTATCCGCTGAAGAGACTGCTCAACTCTTCTTCAAGCATATTATCAAATATTAGGGGCTGCCCAAGTATATCATCAATAATCGGGATCCTAGTTTCACTAGCATATTTGAATCGAGTTGTTTAAACATCATGGTTCAACTTTGAGCACGGGTTTTAGTTTTCACCCTCAATTAGACGGATAGACGAAGCTCTTCAATTCTATGCTAGAGGAATATTTTTGGCATTTTATATATACATCGCAGAAAAAATGGGTGAAACTTTTGGATACAGCTCAGATTTGTTTCAATGCCCAAAATAGCTCTCTCACCCATAAAATTCCTTTTGAGATTGTGACGAGCCATCAACCATTACTCCCTCATATTGTGAATATCAATCTCAGTACCATGTCCCCTCAAGCGAAAAAATATTTCAAGAGTGGAAACAAAACATTAAAATTGTTTGAAACTAGTACAAAAAGTCTGCTGATTTAAAAAGTTGGTTCCTTGAATTTAATGTTGGAGATTTGGTAATGGTTAAATTTTTCCATAGAAATTGCTATAAACCAACAAGAGGGAAATATTCAAGATTGGTGCTGAAATATATTAGACCATTACCTATCGTGAAGAAAATTGTAAGAGTCGCACACAAAGAGAACAAGAAATCCAAAAAAGAATTTGTTTGGAGATAAAGGGTGCGAGAATCCCTCTGAATTCGCTCATCACTCGTCAGTTTTATAACTTCAGTTTGAGCTTACCCATCGTTAGTGGGCCCATAACCCAAGTCCAATCCACGTGGATATCTGTGTTTATGTCGGGCCATTTCAGCTTTTTCTATTTTTCCTTTTCAGTGTAAGGCTGAAAATGGCACTTTGTTCGGTCCAAAGACCGTTCTTCTGTTGAAACACTGCCACGTAGATTGTCCTGAGATTTTTGTTGTCTCAATTTTGAATTGATGTGGACAATACAAGAACAATCATGCTACATGTACACAATCTCTTACACTTTTCTGTGCACTATTTCACGTGTCAACATCTACACTCTTGATTTTAAATTCCTCCATCATATTGTTGTACAAATTACCTTCACATGGGGACAATGTCAACCGTATTGTTAGAAAGGATGTACATATAGCATTATCATACAAGAATGTGCCTGGTCTTTTCTCAGTGTTAAGCTACAATTTATTTTTTGTGAAAAAAAGAAATTATTGGCAATACAATTATACAATACTTAAGGGTAGAGCTTTAAATATGTCATCTGAAATGATTTGATTAGGGAAAATTGGATATTCGACTACCATAATTTGAGTGGCACAATTCTTGAATTGATAATCATGACTTTTAAATAAGATGGGTTGAAAGCTTGATTCAATAAGTGATATTAGCGTCTAGTTTGGGTTGAGGAAGAAACTGTTCCAGACCATCATGATGCTCTTAAGCCCATTGATTGTGTCGGTCAAATAAAGGTGGTCGAATGGTATAAATAATTTAACATTCTCTCGTTGGAATTGTTATGAGTAATGCTATTTACTTAGATTTTTATAAATAGTTAGCAATGTATATGTCAAATAAATGATTGGACATCTTAAATGGATTCATATTTCCACATTTACAAGGTCTAATAGAGGTGACAATTGGTCGATAAAGCTTGTTTAGGCATGAGTCGAGTGTGCCCAAAATATGGGCTCTGTTTTAAATAAATTAACAAAATAAATCCAAAAAAAGCTATTTTTTTTAAAAAAATTATTAAAACAAGTCAAAAAATGAGTTGACTTGTGAAGAATAATGTGAGATCGGCTCAACCTATGACTCGTCTCAAAACGAATTCGAATAATCCATGAACCAAGTCGAACTCACGAGACATTCGATTCATTTGTCACCCCTAAACTCTAATAACTAAATGTTACTTATTGAAGCGTAAACTATTGACCATCAACATTAGGATTATTCAATTGTTAAAGCTCCCTCCAGCAATCTATAATGGATTGGTACGAAAAGCACTATAACTGCTTTCACGAGAATTTAGTGCTGTATGTGTAAATTTCCTTTTAGGCCCACAGCTGAAACTTGAGCTAATTGTTCCATTATCAGATCACCGACAGACTTTATTCATTTTTTACAATACTAATAATGTTAGCTCAATTATTATGGTTGAATTTTTGTACATCTTGTCCCTCAATTTTGGATGCGATGTATACGTTGACAACTATACACGAGCGGTCGTAATCGGTTCAAATCATGGAAAATTGTTTCGACTGGTTGCCGACTAATATATTACATGCACTCAATGTCATAATAATCCATCTTCATGATAAAATGTTATGATCATCCATTGTGTTACCAATAAAGAGAATGCTCTAATCCTTTCGTAACTGTGTTTTTTCAATGTCCAATCTCTAATTGAATGAATTAAATATATATATATATATATATA